TTCCCTACAGAAAGGCTTTAAGGCAGGTTGAAGTTTGTTCCACTGAGGGAACCAAATGAAGATGAATGTGGCCAAGCATAATGAGTAAATGGGAGAGTTACAGAAGATTGCAATAGTGAAATAAGCAAGTGCCAGATGTAGGCTTTGCTAAAATGTTTTGTCTTAAATGCAATGAGAAGTCCCTGAAAGTTTCTAAGCAGGAAAGTGGATAATTCCTCCATGGAGAAACAACCAGCTCAAGAAAAAAACCTTCAGATTCTGACAGTTGGAAATCCCCAATGGAAAGCCCAGGCAGGTCATTATAGTGCAATGGTTCTTCAATTTTTTTTATCTTAGGACCCCTTTATATTCTTAAAAGTTATTCAGTACCCCAAAGAGCTTTTAAATTATGGATTATATATATTTGAAATTAAAATGAGAAATTTTAAAAATACTCATTTAAAAATAACAATAATAAACTCATATGTTAACATAGTTTTATGAAAAATAACTATAGTGGTATTATTTTATGCTTTTGCAAATCTCGGGTTCTTCATTCATTGTGTTGTGCTATCACAGGTTGTGTAGCCTCTGGAAGATTCCACCATATACTCAGGAGAGAATAAAAGTTAAAAAAGTAAGTAATGATTTAATATTATCTTAAAAATAATTTTGATTTCAAGTATCCCCTGAAAGGGTCTCAAGGACCTCCAGGGTTACCTGGACCATGTGTGGAGAGCCACTACTTTAGAGTGAAACTCACCATTGGACAAGCACTAATGCACACATGCATGCAAAGCTTCCAACCGGTTTTTCAGTGATTGTATTGCTTGGGGTATTAGAGCAAAGTCTAAGTTACTGTACTGAGATCCTCAAATACATAAATGTAAGAAGATAGAAGTTAACTTCTGTTTGTTCCACAGGTCATTTAAAGACCAAGCTTCCTTTCATTTCATTCGTTTGCCATCCCTAAAAAGATTATCTTTATCTAACCATGGGCCATCTGTGTTCCAGCTTGCAGGAAGGGAAAATAAACATAAATTCAAGGCAGCAATTTTGGTTTAAACTAACGAAGCAGAAACAGCACATGTAAATTTCACTCCATTTTATTGATTAAAAATTGGTTACGTGACCTCGCCTAGTCACAAAAGAGGCTGAGAAATGTATTCTTTAGCTGGGCAGCCAAGTAGCAAGAAAGAAATGATTTGAGGACTAACCAGCAGTCTGCAGTACCTCACTCTCACATATGAACATTTATACAAGTGATATAAGTTCATTCGAGAAAAGTCACAACATGAAAAAACAAAACAAATAAAAAAAACAGCTAAGCAAAATGAAAACAAACGAAAGCAACACAAACAAAAAAGTTGGCAGAATTAGACAAGGCAAGGAGCATGGAAAATCTAAACAAACCAACCAACCCTATAATTGATATTCTCAAATAAAGAGAAAGATCCTACCATCCGTGAAAGTGGAACAAGATGCCACTAAGAAAAACAGAGATGAGAGATTGAATGTTTTCCCCTAAAATCAAGAACATGCAAAGATGTCCATTCTTATCACCTCTGCTCAACATTAGGAAGTCTGTGCCAGTACAATAGGCAAGAAAAATAGGAAGCATACAGATTGGAAAAGAAGTAAAACCATATTTGTTGCGGCTGTAGAAAATTCTAAAACATTTTTAAAAACCTATTAGAACCAATAAGTGAGTTTAGCAAGGATGTAGGACATAGGTCAATATACAAAGAGTAGCAATAAACATTTTGAAATTTAAAGTTAAAAATGCTATTTACAATAACATCACAAACGTGAAATACTTAGGGATAAATTTAATAACACTTGTACGATTAAAACCACAAACATTGCTAAGAGAAGTTAAGACACCTAAACAAATGGAGAGCTCTACCATATTCATTGAAGAGAAAATTCAATACTGTTAAAATATCAATTCTTCCTGTGTTGACTTATAGATTTAAAACAGTCCCAAACAAAATTCCAGAAAGCTTTTTTTTTTGTAGAAATTGACAAGCTATTCTAAAATTTATATAGAATTGCGAAGAACCTACAATTGGCAAAACAATTTTGAGAAAGAGAATGACATTGGAATGTTTAGTGTACATGGAGGATGTAGTGTCCATTCATCCATAAAGCTACAGTAGCCTAGAAGGTATGATATTTGTTCTTAATGGACCAGAATAGAGAATTCAAAAATAAAACCACACATCTGTGGTCAATTGATTTTTGACAAAGATGACAATATTATTCAATTCAATAGTCTTCAAAAAATGGCACTGGAACAGCTGGATTTCTATATAAAAAAAAAAAAAGTACTTGACCCTTATTTCACTCCATACACAAAAATTACCCTGAAATGGATTATGGACACAAACATAAAAGCTAAAACTTCTAAAACAAAAGCAGGAGAAAATCTTCAGGACCACGGTAAAGATTTCTTTACATAGGACACAAAAAGCACAAACTGTAGAAGAAAAAAATCGATAAATTGGACTTCATTAAAATTAAAACTTCTGTCTACAGCCATGCCATCCTGAACAAGCCCAATCTCATCTGATCTCGGGAGCTAAGCAGTTTTGGGCCTGGTTAGTACTTGGATGGGAGACCACCTAGGAAGAACAGGTGCTGTAGGCATGAAAAAAAAATAAATAAATAAAATAAGAGATTGCAAGCTGACAAGGTCTTTGCAATGTGTGAGATCAACCAAGGATTGCCTTGCCTAAAAAAAAAAAAAAAAAAAAAATTAAAACTTCTGCTCTTTGAAACACACTGTTAAGAGAAAAAATTATAAAGCCACAAACAGGGAGAAAATATCTGCAATGTGTTTATATTACAAAGGACTTGCATTCATTACATATAAAGAACTCTTCAAACTAAATAACAAGAATGCTGTATGCCTGAAACTAATATAATATTGAATGTCAACTGTAATTGAAAAATTTTAAAAATGTTTTTAAAAAACCCCCAAATCCCTCAATAACAAGACTACAAACCCAATTAAATTTTTTTTTTAAATAGACAAAAGATTTAAGCAGACACTTCATCAAAGAATGGCTAACAAAGACATGAGAAAATGCTCATATCATTAGTCATCGAGGCAATTCCAATTAAAGCCACAAGAAAATACTACTATACATTCACTAAAATGATTAAAATGAAAAAGACTAACAATACCAAAACTTAGTGAGAATGTAGAGTAACTGGAACACTGCTAGTGGGAATATAAAATGGCACCACCACTTTGGAAAAGTTTGGCAGTTTTTTAAAATAAAATTAAACATATATTTATTATACTATTTATCGATTTCATTTTGAGATGTTAATCCCAGAGAAATCGAAACTTATGTCCACACAAAGACTTGTATATAAATGTTCATATCAGCTTTCCTCCTAATAATCCCAAATTGGAAGTGACCCAAATGGTCTATCAAGAGGTGGATAGACAAAAGTCTGTGGTATGCAATGGAATGCTACTCAGCAATGAGAAGAAATTACTGACACAAGCAGCGTTATGAAGGAATCTCGAAGCTATTATTCTGAGTGAAGGAAGTCAGACACAAAGAGAGAAAATTGTATGATTCCAAAATGAAACTCTAGAAAAGACAAATCTAATTTATGGTGTCAGAAGGCAGGTGGGTGCTTGGGACCAGGATAAGAGGGTGATTGACTGCAAAGGGGCTCAAGGGAACTTTTTGGGGCGATGAGAATTTTCTACATCTTGATCGTGGTGGTGGTTACGTGGGTGTATTCATTTATCAAGTTTTATCTAAATGCACACTTAAGTAGGTTCATGTTATATGTAAACTACATCACAAAGTTGAGTTTTTATTTTTAAATTTTAATTTGTTTGTTTGTTTATTTATTTTTATGGTGACATTGGTTAATGAAATCCAGTAGGTTTCAGGTGTACAATTTAACAGTAAGGCATATATTTTGCATCGTGTGTTCACCTCCCATAGTTAGATTTCTTTCTGTCACCACATATTTGACCCCTTTTATCCCATCTACCTCCCTCCTCCCCCCTCCAAAAGTTGAGCTTTTAAAAAGGAAATAGAGTATAAGCTCCTAAGAGCTGAGACTTTTGTCTTTGTTCACTGCTATATTCCTATCACCTAGAACAGTGACTGGCATACTGTAGATTCTCCCTAAATATTTGTTGAATGAATTATTAAAGACAAAAATAAAGGTCTTGGAGATTAAAATTTTGAGATAAAATTTAAAATAAAAAAATAGAGGGACTGGGAGATAAAATTGCTCCCAGAAAATAAAACAAAAAAGATAAAAAGATGGACAACAAAAGAGAAAAGTTTAGAGAATCAGTTCAGATCTGACATCTTACTACTAAGAGTTGCAGAAAACAAGAACAGAGCAAATAGAGGAGGAAAATATGAGTAAATAGATAACATAATGAACTGATGGACATGAGTTTCAGATTTAAAAATCACACCAAGTCGATTATAACAAATGAAAAAGACTGCCAGCAGGACCCGTCAGCATGAACTTTCACAACAATGAGGACAAAAAGAAGACTCTAAATGCTCCCAGAGAGAAAAGAACTAGAATCAGGATAGCGTGGACATCTCACCAGTACCACTGGAACTTAGACCACAGCGGAGCAATGCTTTCAAATTATAAGGGAAACTGATTTGCTACCTAGTATTCCAAACCCAGCCAATTGATCAAGTGACATGCTAGAATCAAGACATTTTCAGAATACAAGGTCTCAAAAATTTTACCTCCCATGGACCATTTCTCCGAAAGCTACTTAAGGATGAGCTGCAGCAAAAAGAGGAAGAAAAAAAATTTAAAGATAAGACATAGGATTCAGGAAATAAGAGGTCTAACCATGAGAGAGGCAAAAGGAATCTTTAGAATGATGGTCAAGTGACCTTGTAGGAGCCTGGAAAGCACCTAGACCAGATGGGAGCAGGAGGAAGCAGGGTTCCAGGAAGGATGTTGCAAAGAAAAAAATTTTTCTTTGAAAATACTGAGAAGATTTTAATTTCTGTCAGAGAATGTAGGGATTAATTAGCAATAAGTACATGGAAAATTAAATAAAATTTTAAAAAAAGAGAGAGACAGACAGAAGTTTAATTCCAGGGGAAATGAAGTTATTCAAGATAGCGTACGACATGGCTCAGCTGTGAACAATATTTACATAGTCATAATAATATAAGCACTTAATGATATCATAAAATATGAGATAGCAGCTCTGTTGGGAAGATGAGGGAGAAGAAAGATGACGTGTGTGTGTATGAGCTAAATCTCCATCTTCTATCACAGGAAGACAGTAAGTAATATTTACAGCTGAAAATTCGGTGAGTAGTTGTATAAGCATGTGGTTTAGAAATATGAAGGGAAATACCAAGCAAAGTAGAACTGAAAGTATTGGTCTCTGGGGCCAAGAATTGGAATGAAGAGAGAAAGGGCAGGGGCTTCTGTTTGTCTTTATAAGCCTCTTGGAACTCTTTGAGTTCTATAACTATGTACATATATATTTTTGATAAAAATAAAAATTAAAGGACAAAGAAAGAAAGATAGTACAAAGGAGAAAGCATATACACGATTGTATGACAAAAGTTGTCCCCCTGGACTGCTAGCAATTATAGAAGGCAAAAGCCATGAGAATTAGGCAGCATAGGAAGAGATATATTTTTCTTAGGCAGAAACACAACCTACTTTTAGTTAAAGGGACCTTTCTCTTCTTTTGTATAATATTTGATTTTTTTGGATTACAAAAAAATGTAAAATGTGTTCAATGTAGAAAATAGGAAAAGAGAAGAGCCTACGAAAGCAAATAACAATCCCCTCTACCCACTATCCGGGAATAGTCACTGTTCGAAATTTGGTCTTTCCTTCATTTTTAATGTATAAATAATTGGGATCAGACAATATGCAGGTTTATATCATGCCATTTTTTCACTTTACATTCTTGTGCGAGAATTTTCCTGTCATTAAATATTCTTTGTAAATACGGGGGAAGAAAAATAGTATAGGAAATGAGGAAGTGGCAACTGAGTGTGTCAACAATTCTTTGAGGAAAAGGAGAAGAGAAATGAAGTGGGAGTTGAAGAACGATGTGGGGGAAGGGGGGTTTCCCCACCCCTGAGAGGTACTCAATTCTGTTTGTAGACTGGTAGGAATGATTTGGTGGTGAGAATGATGATTCGAAGCGGGGCGGGGGTTCGCTTAAGGAGCAGAGTCTTTGGAAAGGTGAGGGCTTTGGAGCGAGAGTGGACGCATTGGCATGTGAGAAGGGAGGAGGAGCAGGAGGAAGAGGTGATGCACATGCAAGAGGGGTGAGGATTTGGTGGTGGGGATGGCAGAGTCATGTTGACAGTTTCTCAGTTAAGTATGCGGTAAGGTGATCCATCGAGAAGAGGGAAGAGGAGGAGGGGTGGGAGGTTTGAGGGAAGATGAAAAGGCTTGAGATGTCCTGTGGAGTGGAAGCAGAACCACCAGAGAAACAGAGCAGGACTGCTGGGTGAAGTCAAACTCACGTGAGGTTTGTGAGCATCAAGACCAAGTGACTTCAGTCAACTGTGTGATCCTCTCTAGCAATGGCCAGCTACTAGGCCAGGCCTGGAGAATGCATATGGTAGATGACATCCAGGGTTGGGGTTTTGCCAGGTCCATTATAACAACAGAAAGAGGGGACGAGGAGGGATGGGGTAAAGGGATTGAAAGGGATGGACCTTAGAGTCTAAATTGAGCAAGAAGGGAGACATCAGGATGGGCCGATGGCTAGTGAGAAAGTGGTACCTGACCAGGAGGTGTCAACAAGCTTGCCGAAGTGTGACCGCAGGAGGACCTGTACAAGTGAGCTGGAAGGACAGGAGGTGGTGGTCACGAAGTGGTGTTTGAAATCAGAGGTTTCAGAGGAGGTGTAATTTCTGGTGAGGATAAGGTTCCGGGAGGTGGGTCAAGGAACAGGTAGTAACAGGAGTTTCAAAGGATCTGGGATTTTTAAAGAAGGAAAGAAGGAAGAAAAATAAATGGAAAGCTAGGAGGACTCTTACCTTCTTCCGTCCAAGCCCTAAGGTACTCAGGGTGTGACAGAAGAAAAGCCTTCCATTAAAAGGGCTGCAGGAGAGGCTGCCAGGAGGTGAAGGGCGTTCTGGGGTGGCCACGGTGACTTGGACTTCTGATGGGAATGGAAGTGAAGAGCAGAGTGAGGCATGGAGAGACTGGTTCAGGGGTCTTTGGGGTGGGGTGGGTCTGCGTCTCTTTCTGGCCTGCTGCTTCCTTCCCTCTGTGGCTTAGCCTTCCTCTACCTCTGATGAGGGTGCCCAGACTCTGCCTCCTGCTCCGCCTCTTCCTCTCACCCGTCTTCCGAAAGTGCTGTGCTTTCCCCACAGAAAGACACTGCCTTAGCCTTAGATCGCTCACGTCTTAACTTGTTTGTTTTCCTCACCCCTAAGCCCTGGGACCACATTGATTTATCTTTGAGTCCCCCATGCATAGACCATGCTGTGCTCAAGGTAGGTGCTCCCAGGCACATGCTTGATTAACCTGAATCCACTCAGGAGGGGAAAGGGGAAGGAAACATGATGAATAAGAACCTTCCATGTCCAGGCACATGTTAGACCACATTAAATATGTCTGTGGTTTCCCTGGTGGAGCACTGGCACTCAGCATATCTTAGGGGTTATTATTTACTCCTCCTAACACCTCCTTGGGTAGGTATTGTTACCTAGTTTAGTCTATGTATTCATTTAACAAGTATTTCTTGAGTGCCCACTGTGTATCAGGCACTGTGTTAGACGCTGAGAATACTAAGTGTATATGAGTGTGCTGGTCCACCTTGGTTTGACGCCAAATCCCCAAATCCATTCTCTGCCCTGCCCTGCCTTATAGACAGAGAGGCTGTCCTTTTGGCCTGCATTAACCCAGCTCGCTTAGCAGCTCCTTCTAAGTGTGTTGGGCCAATGGGGTAGGAGAGAAGTTGGAGTGTTTATTCCTTGTTCCCACCTTGCTTTGGGCTGTGTTTCTGGCAGTGGCATGACTACAGCCTCTATAGGTCCACCCCTCCTTATGGTTCTAGGTCTCAAGAGACTTTGGTAACGGTGCTCCCATGTTTCCCGCCTCCCTGCCACTCAACACACATGGAGCTGGGGAGACAATGTTCTGAGTTTCGGGGCCTCAAGCTTGTGGTTAAATCCATAGAGGTCTCTTTGGCAGTGGCCTAGGTAGACCAGTTGTTTGTGTGTCGGCTTCTCCCTTCAACACAGCTACTGCCCAGCTGCTCTGTGCCCAGCACAGTGCTGGTGCAGTGCTCAGAGAGAAGTGACTAATGCCTGGTTCTTGCCTTCCAGGATCTCCTGGACTTCAGGGTCTAATGCCTGACACATAGAGTGCAGAATTTGTTGGAAGGAAGAAAGGGATGATAAAAGAAAGGGAAGGAGGGTGGGCAGGAGGGAGAGAAGGATGGAGGGAGGATGGACCTTGTATCTGAGTCAGTTCCATGAATTTGTTCTCTCAGGGTCACCAAGCCTGAGGTCATAACCAAACAGATCTCTGAAAAGTATCGTGTAAAAGGGGGCAACTCTGTTG